AGGCATGCAGGCCCCCCTGCTGAATGGGTATAAAAATCCACATCAACGGCTGTTCATACAGTCCTTATAACGGCAGTAGAGGCGGTGACAGAATGCCAAGACTGAACGCAGCTCAACGGAACAACGCCATTGGGAGATTACAAGCTGGAGCAACTCAGCAAGAAGTGGCCAGGCACTTTGGCGTATCCAGACAGACAATCTCCGCACTGTTGACCCGATACAACAACACGAACAAAGTTGACGACAGACCAAGGTCAGGAAGACCAAGGGTGACAACCCAAGCACAAGATCGATACATCCGGCTGCGACACCTCCGAGACCGCACTACCACAGCCACGTCTACAACCACACAGATCCCTGGGGTACGCAGAATATCAGATCAAACGGTACGCAACAGACTGAGGGAGGCTGGACTTTTTACACGAAGACCTGTTCGACGTCATGTATTGACCCCACGTCATCTGTCGGGCCGTCTGCTTTGGTGCCAATAGAGGGTTAGATGGGCACGTGCAAGGTGGAGAAATGTACTGTTTACTGACGAGTCCCGTTTCCTACTCACACGTGCTGGTGGGCGCGCTCGTGTCTACAGACGTCGGGGTGAACGTTACACCCCAACTGTGTGCAGCACGATGTCCCATTTGGCGGCGGGAGTGTCATGGTGTGGGCCGGAATTCATCACGGTGGTAGGACACCTCTCGTGCATGTGGCAGGTGCATTGACAGGTGTGCGTTACAGAGACTTGATCCTACAGCCTTACGTTCTTCCTCACGTCAACGTTCATGGCGGACAGTTCCAGCAGGACAACGCTCGACCGCATATTGCACGTGTTTGTCAGGACGTCTTACAGCACAACAACATCCAGACATTACCCTGGCCAGCCCGGTCACCAGATTTGTCCCCGATTGAGCATCTGCGGGACGAGTTGGATCGACGCGTTCGCAGGAGGAATCCACTGCCCCAAACACTTCCGGCGCTTCTTGATGCACTTCAGCATGAATAGCAGCACATCCAACCGCTTGTTATTGTCAACTTGATTGCATCTATGGGTCGTCGGTGTTAAGCGGTGATTGATGCACGTGGTGGGCACAACCGATACTGACATTTTCTGTACCCCTGTGACATTAACTGTATCGTGTACGTGTGTCTGTTTAGGTGACACGATTTATGTTTTGAACATTGTGTACATTGATCTTCAAACAGTGTTTCAATTATGGTTTCTGTGTCCTATTTTGAAACGATCGCATTATGTTACATTTTGAAAGTCAGTGTCAAGTTACTCACAAAACATCTTACTCAATGAAATTGTCTTGTCTAGTGAAACTATCACTTTTACGAGTATTCTATATTCCCCGTGCAGAAACTCCATCATGCAACATCACCAATGATACTGATGCTGACATGCTTGCACTGAATGATCAATTGGTTCTCTTGGTGAACATAGCTGACTAATACTGTTCTGGGGGTTCAAGCTTCACACTACAAATCGGGGATGTAACAGAGACATTGTTTGGCACTGATGGGAATATAACGGACAAGACACTTGTCGTCAACTTGAATGTTACGGAAAGACATTTCGGATCTGTGGAGCTGGCTTTTCTATGTCTTAATGAACACATTCCTTTGAGGTGCACAGGGTTAAGAGAAACTGTTCACAGTAAGAATGAAACTGTTTTGTAGATATTTACCTCCTGTCGTCCTGGTTGTCGTTATTATTACTGATGACAGGAAGAGATCAAATATATTTTTCATCAGTCTCCAGCACAAGTGTGCTTGTCGTAAGAGGCGATTTAATTGGATTGTGGACTAACTCGGTGACTGAGCTAAATGCTCGTCCCCAGGACGTCATCATTTACAGGCTGCATGATAGACCAGAGACAAAATCTTTGATTGCGTTGGTAGTCTCTGATTCAGGATTATGCTTGCATGTCTTAATAATGTTACAGTACCTTACATACACATGATTAATGACTCTGTGATGGAGCATCTTGTTTCAACCTTTATCTCCACATCTCTACTCCACACAGTAATAGAATGATAGTTGTTCAAATTTACATGTAAGTTTTAATCTACCAATAAGATATCAATGTTTTCTTTGTTTGTTTGTTGTTTAACGTCGCACTCAACAATATTCCAGCTATATGACGGCGGTCTGTGAATAATTAAGTCCGGACCAGCCAAGCCAGTGATTGACATCATGAGCCTCGATCCACGCAATTGGGATACGATGACATGCATCAACCAAGTCAGCGAGCCAGACCACCCATTCCCGTTAGTCAACTCTAACGACAGGCATAGTCGCCTTATACGGCAAAAATGGATTGCTGAAAGTCTGTTCTTACCCGGATATTAACGGGTCTATATCAATGAATAGCCAAAGTTATCTACAGGTATAGTGAGTGAATGAGCTTAGTTACATGACGCTTTGAACAATATTTCAGGTTTTAGCTGGCATGCTGGATAAATGATAGTTGAATGTATTATTCAAGGGACATTAATTAAATTTGATGACCATGACAATGGCACATATATGATGTGATATATATATATATATAAGATAACATCTTACTCAATGAAATTGTCTTCTCTGGTAGAACTATCACTTTCACGAGTATTCTTTATTCCCCGTGCAGAAACTCCATCATGCGACATCACCAATGATAATGATGCTAATATGCTTGCGCTGAATGATCAACTAGTTCTCTTGGTGAACATAGATGACTATTACTGTTCTCGGGGTTCAAGTTTCACGCTACAAATCGGGAATGTAACAGAGACATCGTTTGGCACTGATGGAAATATAACAGACAAGACATTTGTCGTCAACTTGAACGTTATGGAAAGACATTTCGGATCTGTGGAGCTGGCTTTTCTATGTCATAATAAACACATTCCTTTGAGGTGCACAGGTTTAAGAGAAATTGTTCACAGTAAGTATGAAAATGTTTTGTATATATTTGCTTCCTGTCGTCCTGGTTGTCGTTATTATTACTGATGACAGGAAGAGATCAAGTAGATTCCATCAGTCTCCAGCACAAGTGTGCTTGTCGTAAGAGGCGATTTAATTGGATTGTGGACAAACTCGGTGACTGAGCTGATTGCACGTCACCATAAAGTCATCATTTACAGGCTGTCATGGCATAGCTTGAATAATACTGTAAAGTACCTGAAGCACTTACAGCAAATTCAACTAACAGCAACTAAAAGATTGCATAATTCAGTCAACACATATTAACATAAGCTACTGTTACTGTCTATTGTTTGGACATCCTTGTTTGTATGTAATAGCAAGTTCAGCATTATGGTGTAAATTCTAGTTTGCATATATGAAGCGTTCAGTATTGAATGAAATATATTGTCCTAGGTAAGGCGATATTGCAATTGTTTGCTAACGCACTTCACACTTTCAGAACGGCAGATGAAAGAAGTGACGGCAGATCCAAGAAGCAGGCCAAGCACTAGTTTTCGGGCCATGGTAGGCGCTGTCGTTGCAGGAAGCGTGGCTGTCACAATCAACATCGTGCTGGTGGTCGTTCTGGTGAAGATGAAACAATCAAAACGGTCACAGCAGCCAGAAACACACAGTGGTAGAAATGTGTACGATTCTCCTAATGACGTTGATGGACAAACGGATGAAACATCTGGACATGAATACAACACTTTGTACCTAACTCCTGTTGAGGGAGGCAATATCTATAATGTCATATCCACTTAAGTACACTGTGTAAAGATACACGTATCCAAACACTATGACGGTATTGTGCTGTATAATAGGGACAATAGGGTTAGTTTCGGTAACCATATCTCTGTGCCGCTCCCAATAAAAGATTTTTATGTTGACTGTCTCTCCGTGTTTTCAAAATAGATTTGCGATTTTAAAGGTTTTCCCTGCTGCACATAATTATTTTCTCAAACCAACGGGTTGTTATTTGGACCCTTAAGTATCCAGTGTTTCTGTCACATTTATAAGTTTGTGTAAATTAGATATTAATTATGTCGTTCATACACTTATCAACGTCAATTTTGCGGTCATGTGACCGACCGCTCGTCCAATTGAAAAGCTGTATATCATGTAAACTTGATTGTTGCTCACAATATCAATCACTGGATTGTCTGGTCCAGGCTAAAATATTTACACGCAGCCGTCTTGTACATGAAAAAAAGCTGAGTTCAACCAAAAGACAACATTGTAAGACTCCATGGTGCTGAAGTTATGTGCCTATCAAAAGGGCCTATTGTGTCGGTGTATTTGGGCGTTACGGTGTCAATCCCTTTTCACGATTTACCCGTTATACTGCCAAGTGTATATAAGTGAAACCAAGCATAACTATTGCAAATGCCGAGTTGATACATAATACAGAAACAATAGTTATCCATTCAAAAACAGCATCTGTGGTAACAGGCGTACTAGGTTACTTTATGAAAAAAAACTTTAGTTAAATCCGCAGCTTGGGTTTTCCTCTTGTGTACAGTTTGATGACTGGGTGTTCGACAGTGTCTGTCAGTTGGACATTCTCGCTAAATGACACAGCGAACAGGATTTTCTGCCTGTGACATAAATGTTCTACACAAGACACTCATTCACCACGAAACATATTATTAGAACCTCATATAAACTCAATTGATAATGAATTCTCACTATTGCCAAAACCCTGCATTATATTATTACAAACATTAACATTTATGTAAGGTAATTCCAATATGCTCCAAAGAGGGTCTACCCTCGCGGCTCATTTCCAGTCTCTTTGTAGTCGTCATATTTCGACCTTTGTCATTTTCCAGCGCGTCGTGTCCCCTTATTCAGAGCAATATACCTTCATGAACGGGCATTGCCAATATATCTATAACCATTCACCACGTAACATACCATTAGAACTTTATGCATTGAAGAACCGGCACTGTGAAATATAATCTACCACAACACCACAACACCATTAGTTTAAGAAAGTATAATCGCATATGTATTATTCAAGGGAAGTATGCAGTATCATTCATGTTAATGCAGCTCAGCTGACTGCAGATCTACTATTGTGGGTGCGGAGTGTCCAGGGAAGGAGGAGGACTGGTTGACTGCCTGCAACAACAGTAAGTTTATATACACTGATTGGTTAATTGTCATTGATTGAAACAAAAGGTACACACATCCTCAGATCAAAGCCATCTGTTATAAAGGCAGAAATGATCCGAAGAATATTACTTTTAGTAAATAGATCAGCGATTGCTGTTCACATTCCATCCACGACCTGAAAGCATGTTGTTTTACGATGAGTAATTAGTATTAGTCCAAACATATAACGGTGGCTTTGACAGACAGAGAAACTAGCCTATTTTGTGTCATTGTGGTTTTTTACCAAAGGTCACATTGAGTGGCATTGTTGCACCTCAGAATCAGTTAAGGTTATACAGGACGTGAGGAAAGTAACATAAGTAATCACAATATGTACTGGTAACAAATGCCGTTATCATTTTTGTGTAATTCGACTTTTCACATCAGTTATTTTAACTACACAATAGAAGTGAGGAAAATACATGAATTTTATAACAGAAAGTAAAATACAATACATTATTCCCTTTGACTTAATGAAAAAAATATTGTTATATTTATTGAAGATCGCATGAAGACAGTGTTATCCTGGTATACGACATTGTTAAACAGGTATACGATGTGACGTCATTAACTTTCGGACGTTATTTCATACTAAGTCAACACAACTGTCTATATGATATCAATCACTGGTCCACACTCAATTATTTACACGTTTGCATAAAAATCTAGACTATTGTGCAGCGTTTAACAAAAAACAAAAAAAGACGCTGTTGCTGTGCGTCTAGAATGAATGTTATTATCTTTCTTACCTTGATCCATATGCATAAACAAGAACACCTTCATTCTACAGATGGAGTTCACTGGAAGAAGTGACAGTCTCGGATTATACATCCTTCTTGGTATACATTTGACTCAGTTTTCCCAAGGTACGTAACGAAGAAAAGTACTTTTGTTTCAACTGATTGCGACAATACTCCTACGTAGTGAATGAAAACATGTTTTGTCTCCTACTGCGTGTAATACATGCTAAAATAATGTGTTTTTGTTTCATTGTTATTTTATTTCCAGTTATGTCACTGTAAATATTGTTTTCGCGTGCAAGTACCGTGTAGTCGAGATACGATGATACGCAATCAGCACGGTCTCCGAGATTCTCCAATGTCGCCGGTGTCAACATAATGACACTTTATTTATACATCCCAGGTGCAACAGAGCTTGTGTGTCCAGAGATAGGATTCTTGGACTCGCCAGCAAACCTGAGCTGCAGTGGCACAGGACGCACACACTCCTACATCCAGCCATCAGGTGGCATGGTGACCACATGTGACATGACCACTGCAAAATGTCTACCTGACGCGATGGTGACTTTCCCGAACTCTTCATTCAGTGTCCTCACACTACCAATGGTAAAACAGTCACACGCAGGACACTGGACTTGCTCCATTGGGGATAATGTGACAGGTTGTTTCATGACTGTAGCAAGTAAGTATGTTACTTTAGCTCAGACCATCACCTGGTGACTGTATACATCGCGTCGTTGTAGCAACGGTGCCCGATCACGACAAAGTTGTCAGTGCAAAATTAGAATTATACATTTCTGAGTTATTGGTATGACATGATACAAATATATATATATATATATATATATATATATATATATATATATATATATATATATATATATATATATATATATATATGTATATATATATCAGTAGATATGTAGGATATAGTAACTGTTCTTCTCGTATGCTTTGTATAAAAAACAACAACAACAACGTTACATTAGTTGTGTATTTTGTATTTCAGAACTCCCATCATGTGCCATATTGAGTAACCGGTCTGCAGAAGAAGTGACAGTACGTGTACAAGACTACCATTGTTCTGACTCCATTGACCTGTATTTGAAGACTGGAAACTTTACAGGAAGACTGTTGAATACATCACGTATTAAAACCACTGTTGGCATGTTTGAGATCACAGTCAATGTAACAACATCCCTTGTAGAGCCAAAGACATTGGTCTTTGTCTGTGGCAATACGAGATGGGAAATTGCTTGTCAAGGTACTGAACCTTCATATATGCTGTCCTTTTTTAAGTCTTGTGATCGTTTGTTTTGTGTGTCTACATCCATGCTCGTGGGTTTTACCCAAATGGTTAGCGCTTAACATCCCTTTCACTATTATTTCATTTAGGAGATAAATATTTCGTTCTGTAAGATTTGCGTGATGTTATGCTGAATGGATGTACGGAAACGTCATGTGAACATGACGCCGTAAGGGGACGTGATGGTGACTATACCAAACTCTTCCTACAGTGTTCTCACACTGCCAGGGGTACAACTATCATACGCGGGAAGGTGAACTTGCTCCATTGGGGATAATGTGTCACGTTGTTTCATGACAGTTGCAAGTAAGTGTGTTATTTTAGCATAGACCATCACCTGATGAATCGATACATCACGTCGTTGTAGCAACGGTGTCCGATCATGACAAATATGTAAGTGCAACATCAGGGGTTGTGTATTTTTTTGCTTGCCAGGGTTATAATTGAGACAAAACATTTCTCAGCTATTGGTAAGACATGATACAAATATACATATGTTACAGTCCAAATTGATGTAAATTAACTTAAATTTTCAGTTTGGCATTTACAAAACGCCATAACATTTAAATCATTTTACAATGAGTTTTCCATTTATAAGATTATTTGCTGATTAACGTCGCACCTAGCAATATTCCAGCTATATGACGGTTGTCTGTAAATAATCGAATCTGGACCGGACAATCTAGTGATTGACATCATGAGCATCAATCTAAGCAATGGGGACAAGATGACATGCATAAACCAAGTCTGTCGAGCCTGGCCACCCGATCCCGTTAGTCACCTCTTTACGACAAGCGTGGGTTGCTGGAGACCATTTCTAACCCGGAATCTTTCCATTTATCGTATTTTGATAACTAATTCCACATATGTTTATTATCTGTATAATCACCCAGTGACAGAAAGAAAACGAAAGTAAATGTATATTGCTGATTTTTGGCTCCTGATCCTAGCATAGTTAGACTTTTTTGATGTTTTTAAGCCCTTTTGAACTTCTAAAAAACTTTTAGTCAATCTGACGGGGAAATAATTGTAAAATGACTGAAATATTTTGGCGTTTTGTATTTTGCCTAAGTGAACATTTTACACATAAATCGTAATATATATAGAGATCAGTAGGTGTAACATCGACATATAGGATAAAGCAACTGTTCTTCTCGTATACTTTGTATAAAAAACAACAACGTTACATTAGTTGTGTATTTTGTATTTCAGAACCCCCGTCATGTGACATATTGAGCAGCCGGGCTGCAGAGAAAGTGACAGTACGTGTACAAGACTACCATTGTTCTGACTCCATTGAGCTGTATTTGAAGACTGGAAACGTTACAGGAAGACTGTTGAATACATCACGTACTAATACTACTGTTGGCATGTTTGAGATTACAGTCAATGTAACAGCATCCCTTGTAGGGACAAAGACATTGGTCTTTGTCTGTGGCAATACGAGTTGGGAAATTGCTTGTCAAGGTACTGAACCTTTAATTTTGCTCTAGTATTGATTTGAGTTGAGGATAGATGGCGGATGTGTAATAAAGAGACAGGTTAATAAGATTTAGAGCACTTTAAAAAGGTTAAGCAGACAGGAGTTGTTTTGTTTGTCATGTTACTGACAGTGGGAGAACCGACTGTTTTATACGCTTTGTGTAGCGTGTCAAAATCCTGTTATCGTATGTTTGGTGTGTCTACAACCCTGCTCCTGGGTTTTATCCAAACGGTTAGCGTTTAACATCCCTTTCAATATTATCATATTCTATAATTTCTTCCAAGGTATTGATATCCTAAATAATTCAATCAATTGTTTGCATACACATTTTACACTTTTTTCAGTGAAGGCGGCGAAAGAAAGTAATGGAAGCAATAGCTCTGTTGTCATCATAGGGGCTGTCGTTGCCGGAAGCGTGTTTGTCATCATCATCGTCATGCTGGTACTGATGCTGGTAAAGATGAAGCAATCACAACAGCCAGAAACACAGAGTGATAGAAATGTGTACGATTCTCCTAATGACGTTGATGGACGAACGGATGAAACAGCTGGACATGAATACAACACTTTGTACCGAACTCCCTTTGAGGGAGACAGTATCTATAATGTCATATCCAGTTAAGTACACTGTGTAAATATACACGTATCCAAACACCATGACGGTACTATGCTGGTGCCTCAAACATCGAAGTGATAAAGGAGTTTTGGTAACCATATCTCTTTCCTGCTCCCAATCAACGATTTTGATATTGACTTGTCACTGTACAGAGCTTCGGACTGTCTCGCCGTGTTTTCCTCATAGATTTGCGAACTTAACGCTTTTCCCTGCTGCACATAATTATCTTCCAAACCAACGGGGTTTTTTATGCTTTAGTTTCCAGTGTTTCTACCACATGTATAAGTTTGTGTAAATAAAATCTAACTTGTGTCGTTCATACACTTATAATGTCATGTGAACGACCACTCGTCCAGTGGAAAAGCCGTATATGATGTAAGCGTTATCGTTGCTTACAATATCAATCACTGGATTGTCTGGTCCAGGCTCACGAGGCCATCATGTAGATGAAAAATAGCTGAGTGTGGCATTAAACAACCAACAGACAACATTGTAAAATATACGTCACATCAGTATAACGTCATTGTTAAGTGTATATCATATCATTATGATGTCATTGTAATGTAAAGTTACATTAGAACTACGTCATTGTAAAATATACGTCATATCAGTACTACGTCACTGTACAGTATTATTCGATATCAGTTATATGTCAATATGTAGGAACCATGAATTGACTTTATGTAATACTGTATATAGTACAAAAGATAAACTTTGTTACTGTTATTGTCATTAACCATTAAGTCAAAAGACGCCTACCCACCACACCTTATCAAGCGCCATGGTGCTGAATTTATGTAACTATCACAAGGGCCTATAGTGTCGCTGTATTTGTTAATTCCTTTTCACGGTTTACCCCGTTATACCGCAAAGTGTATATGAGTGAGTGAGTGAGTTTGGTTTTACGCCACTTTTAACAGTATTCAAGTAATATCGCGGCGTGTCAGCTTAATGTGGGAGGAAAGCCCAAAGTGATGCAGGTCTCAGACGTTTACCACTTCGGTGAAACCCACGAGCACGGGTATGGTGCTGACAAACCTATAAACATAATCAGGGCGAACCAGGATTCCAACCTACGATCATAGGTTTCCGGCGTGTCCAAGGGACGCAACTCTGAACAGCGAATCGCGGCACCTTAGACGACTGGGCAATCCGTGCCCCCGCAAAGTGTATATGAGTGAATCCAGGCATAACTATTGCAAATGACGAGTTGATACATAATACAGAAATACCAGCTATCCATTCAAAGACATCTGTGGTAAGAGGCGTTTATCAAATATCAGTTACTCTATGAAACAAAGCCTTTAGTTAAATCTGTAGCTTGGGTTTTCCTCTTGTGTACAGTTCGATGGCTGGATGTTCGACAGTGTCTGTCAGTTGGACATTCTCGCTATATGACACAGCCAACAAGATTTTCTTATACCAAAGACACTCATTCACCGCGTAACATATAATTAGAACTTGGAATTCTCACTATTGTCAATACCACGCATTATATTATAACTAGCATGGACATCTACATAAGGTAATTCCATTTTGCTTCAAAGGGGGACCACCCTCGCGGCTCATTTCCAGTCTCTTTCTAGTCGTCATATGTCGACCTTTGCCATTTGTCAGAGCATCCCGTCCCTTTAATCAGATCATTATACCTTCATGAACGGGTATTGTCAATATATCTATAACCATTAACCACGTAACATACAATAAGAACTATATGCATTGAAGAACGGACACTGAAACTAATGAAGAGTTAGATTTCCTTTGATACTGAATTCGCCTAAATCATGTAGTATGTTTTAAATAGCAACCTCACATAAGTAATTGAGATTCCTTTAAACAAGGATGAGTCTCCAAAGTCTCGCAGTCTATTTCCAGCCTCTTTCTCTTACATTTGCGTGAAAATAATATAAACTAAGCGGCAAAAGAAAGTATAGGTTGGCAATTTGTAATTTTCTTTAAAACAGCGATAACTAGTGGAAAGTGGGTATTGGGAATATGACTGCCCAGTACCAAAAAAACACTTCACCCGAACGCACCACCATTGACGGCGCTCGTGCGGTGACACAAAAATGGTGAAACAGGTTTCCCGCCTATGGCATAAACTTCACATGCATGTTAGCTGTATAAATGCGTTCGTCTGCAGGGTATAACCACACGTGATGAAAGCACACCAAAGAAATGCCACAACAGGAGCAGAGAGAGAGTGCCATCGGTATGGCCGAAACGGGGGCAACGCAGGTCCAAATTGCCAGAAGGTTTGGTTGTACACCATTGAGAGTAGCCAAGCTGAGTCAACGGTACAGGCAGACAGGGAGGACACAGGACAAGCCTAGAACCGGACGACCCCGAGTGACAACACCACTGGAAGACTGCCTGCGAAACAGATTCGTAACGGCGACGGCGACGGCAGCAAAAGCGTCGGGACATCCCATTAGCCAACGTACAGTACTACGACGACTTCGTGCTGCTGGAATCCGAGTGCATCGTCCTATCCGAGGAATGGTACTGACTGCTCAAAATCGACGCATGAGACTGCAATTGCCGAGGCAGGTTCGACGCTGCCAAGTGAGAAATTGGTGTCGAGTGCTGTTTACTGATGAAAGTCGGTTTAACTTATTTCGAAATGACGGCAGAGAACGATTTTATCGACGCAGAGGGGAACGTTTGGCTCCGGCGTGTATTCGAGAGGTCCATCCATTCAGCAGGGGAGGTGTCATGGTGTGGGGCGGTATTTGTTGTGATCAGAAGACTGATTTGGTGATTATACAGGGAAACCTGAACGCTGTGCAGTATAGAGACCAAGTGTTGCAGCCAGTTGTGCCTCCGTTCTTACAAATCCAAAAGTAGGAGACATTGTTTCAACACGACAATGCCAGGCCCCATACTGCAGGACTGACTCGGAACTTTCTAAACCAGCAGAACGTTGACGTTTTTCCCTAGCCTGCCCACTCACCCAATATGAATCCTATTGAACATCTGTGGGACCATCTTGACAGACAGATTAGAGCACGCCATCAGCCTCCCGTCGGAGAGACGAGTGGCAACGGATTCCAGTCAACGTCATCAGAAGACTGACGTCATCGATGAGGCTGCGTATCACAGCATGCATTGAGGCAGCTGGAGGTCATACACGATATTGAAGGCATCTGTGTCGACAATGAACTTGTAGTGTGACTTACAATTTTTTGGTGACATTTCAGACAACTTTTGAAATGAAATTTCTTACCCCACCATTGTTTACCTTGAGCTTACAATATCTGTGATTGCACAATTTCATTCAAACTGTGGTTGATCAATCATTTGTTACCCCTCCCCAGGTAATATTATAATTCACAACAAAACCTCGTCTTGTTATTTTTTTTATCGATCATGGATCTCGACCTATACTTTCTTTTGCCGCCCAGTTTATTTGCTTTGTGTAGTAGGGATACTTGCTGTAATACAGACTTTGGTTTAAGGATTAGCAAAGCAATGTTTGGAGGACTTCAGTAAAACTTGATGGGATTGCCATTTTCCAGAGCCACGTGTCCCTTTGATCAGACATAAGAGAGTTATTATCAGCAGTTTCAGAGTAATGCAGTGTGTGTGTTTCTTCACATAGCCCAATGCTTCCACTCACTGTTATATTGATCACCAAGGCTTATATCACAGGCTATAGTTGAGATATTTATAACTTCCTTATGCAGTGTTATACAGTCAATGTGGTTATGCATAAATGTCTAATATTCCTTATAGTGCCATGGATTATGTATACTCCTTATACAGAAACACCACAAACCTTGTGACACTGTCGACTAGCGGAATGGCGGTGGATCGATCCCAGGCCACGTTACGCAAAAATACGTCAAAACAATTTTTGAATTAAACATTATGACTATGTCTGTCATTAGTACACTGGTGAGTGTGTGAGGTTTATGCCGCGTTTAGAAATATTCATTCTCCAAGAATGAACTCCACCCACTGTACATTTCCAAATTTAACTTATTATTGGGCGTGACGAGTGAACACGCTGACCAGAATACTATCGCATTGAAAATAGGTTATCAGGCACTTCATACATGTATATACGAATATATACTTCAATGACTCAAGGATATAGAGATTCTCACCCGAGTGTCTTTTGATATCGAATATATCAACAAGAGGTGATAAAAGACACGAGGGTGAGATTTTATTTATCAACCAACATCCTTCTTCCAACTTTTTTCAGTTTGTAGACAGTAATAAGCAGTGTCTTAAGTGTAAAGGTACTGCTAAGAGCTTCAGCAGCAGAGCCATAAGTGATGTCATTTGATTGTGATGTCATGGTAACCAACGGCGTCACATTGGTCTGCAAAGCATTTTGATGCAATTTCATTGCAGCGATAT